TCCAATGTCAACCGTGAATCCAGGAGAACACCCAAGTTGCGGACCCGATCTGAGGGGGCCAAAGTTTCGCCCCCTATAGTCAGCGATGGAATCAGCTGACTATGCCGAGGCGCTGGAAGCCATAGCCACTCGGTCTTGGACGGGTTGAGTCTGAGTCTGTTCCTCCCCATCCAGACCCTCACGGCCTCCAGGCATCGGGTCATCACGTCAAGGGCATCGTTGGGGTGGCCCGGGGTGGATATGTACAGCTGAGTATCGTCAGCGTACTGATGTTCAAAGTCCTGTTGTTCAAAGTCAGGATGTTCAAAGTCCTGTTGTTCTTTGGCCTTTTGCAAATTGACTGATGACATTGTCCATGCAGATGTTAGGTACAGTTGTCCACGTACAGTTGAGCACAGAATGTAGGTTGCCAAGAGAGAAATTTAAAAGAGTTTGGCCCCATTTTATGACTCTCCTTGCTACATTTGTTAAGTGACTCTGGCTTGTCAAGATTTGATCACATGACCCCGGGACATTGCATCCATCATAAAGATGAACCAGTTGCCAAGCCGCTGAATTTTGATCACGTGACCCTAGGGATGCTGCAACGGTTGCAAGTGTGAAAAATGGTCTTTTTTTCAGTGACTTTTCAATATTTATGACAGTTGCAGCGTCCCCGGGTCACGTGATTCCTTTTTCTAATCTTCTGACAAAGTCAATGGGATTCACTTCACAACAGTGTTACTAGCTTAACTGAAGTAATTCACTTAAGAAACGACGTTACATGGGGCAATACTCACTTCTGGTCCCGGTGACCAACCCAGATTGGACCCTTCAATACTCGCTTCACACATGCCTCACTAACAGAAATTTTGGGCTGAATTGTCGTCGTAAGTAGAAGACTACGTGCATATTGCTAGTCCACGTACAATATGCCATATGCTAAATAAATGTCATGTCCCCTTTTATGTGTGTAACCTCAATTTTCTTGTGATATATATCTGATGCCTTTTGATGCAGTGCCTACAAACCACAATAGGTCTTGCAATTGTCTGCTTGATTTCCACTGTTTGGGACTAGACCCTCTTTTCAAAGTTTAAACCGTGCAAAAGGCACAATTTACCGACGAACTAAAAACTTAATCCAGTTTTTCAGTCCTGTGTTCTGGTTCAGCTGCCAGCGAAGCGAAGTCTGTTTAATCAGTTGATCTCTTCCTAAATCGGGATTTGATCTTCCTGTTCTTCTCTCGTCTTGCCAGGGGAAAAAAGGAAAAAAACCAGGATACGGAAAAAATTGGATGGACAGAAAAACGGGGTGGAGGCGGAGAAGCCAGGCTTAATCTCAAAATCAGAAAGTGCCAAGGTCACCGTGATTTGGCAACGTTGGTCCCTCTTTAGCAGCACCCATGAAGCCTGTAACAAGCGCCTGGAAGGAGAAGCAGCTGGACCCAGTGGAAGACTTGCTCAAGCCTCCCAGGTCAGCAACTTCAGTGCCGAGGACGTGGTGCGACCAATGGACAGGACAGTTAGCTAGTGTTACGGCAACTCGTTTCCAACACATCGGAAGTTGTACAGCTATGGGGAATAAACATTCATTATCACGTATGTTTCCTATGAAATTCTAGGTTGTGCGTGTGGTGCAAAGGAAATGGTCAGAAAATGGATTTGCCAGGTCTGAAAGGATGGTTTCATGCAGTGTTTTTCAAGCACAGGCACTTTAAGAGGGCTGGACTTCAACTCCCAGAATTCCCCTGCCAGCTTGCACGGAGATGGGTGGACCAACTCCCAGAATTTCACAGCCAGCATGCTTTAAGAGGGATGGACTTCAACTCCTAGAATTCCCTAGCCAGCTTGCTTGGAGATGGGTGGACTTCAACTCCCAGAATTCCCCAACCAGCAGGGCCACGCATGAGAATTCTGGGAGTAGACGTCCACAATCCTAGAAGGGCCCCTCCTCTTGGGGAAACAGGTGTCTGTATGCATTGGATTGCAACTCCCATCACCCCCAGCCAACCTTGGATCTTTGATAGGCTGAAAATCCCCCTTTGCAATTTTGCCTTCCTTGATATCAAGGTTTCAGGACCTTGATTATTGCCAGCATATGGACTTCAACTCCCAGCATTCCCCAGCCAGCATGGCCATGGATGTGAATTCTGGGAGTTGAAGTCCAGAACCTTGTATGGCAGCATCCCAACCCTCCAGAGAGCACCAGACTGAGATGAGGTGGCTCGGGGTTTGTATCAGGCGGGACTGCAACGGGTGTAGCCCTTCTAAGGCTTCACCTGTTGAAATTCAACTTGTCGCACCCCTAACTGCTGAGAAATGGCTGCTTGTCTATGGGTAGAAGAGACTGTTAACTTCAACAGAGCCTACACCAGGGGTCTTCAAACTTGGCCCTTTTACGGCTTGTGGACTTCAACTCCCAGAATTCCTCAGCCAGGCATGCTGGCTGTGGAATTCTGGGAGTTGTAGTCCACAAGCTATAAAAGGGCCAAGTTTGAAGACCCTCGGCCTACGCTAAAGTAAGGTTGAGAAACGGCACTAGGCCTTGTTTGCTTTAGTTGCCTAGCAACTACGACGGAGTGTAATCCCTCCCCTGCTTTGCATCGCGGGCGCCTCTGAGGTCGCCTAGCAACAATCCTCCCTCCCTTCCTCCCCCATCGACGTCAGGAGTTCGATGAGCGGCAGGAAGCCGCGCTGTGGGGGGCGCGGCCTGGTGACGCCGTGCGTGGCGCCGTTCGCCTGACGCCACCCGCTGAGGGGGTACGTGGCAGTGACGTCGCGGCCCGCCCTCTTTTCGCCTTGTTTGGCTGTTCGATGCGGAGGCCGGTGTTCGCAGCCCAGCCGCCCAGCGACGCCGAGAGCCGCCCCGGGTCCGCGCGACAGGTGAGTGCCGGGCGGGGAAGGGGTGTCCCCTCGGGGTGTCCCCTCGTCAAGGTCCCCCCTCCCCTCGGGTCTCCCCTCCCGCCTCCCCCCCTTTTCCTATCGGTGTCACCTCGAAAGGGCTCCCCCCTTCCCGGCGCCTTCGCCTCCAGGGTGCCCCCCTCCTTTGGGGTCCCCCGTGGCCTTCTCCTCCTGCCCGTTTTCCCTGGGCTGATGTCCCCGAACCACTTGAACTACACCTCCCATCCTCCCCAGCCTGGTGGGGTGAGGGGAGTAGATGCCCCCCAATCCCCTTAAACTACATCTCCCATCTTCCCCAGCCTGGGTGGGTGAGGGGAGTAGATGCCCCTGAGCCAATTGAATTATACTTCCCATCCTCCCCAGCCTGGTGGATGAGGGGAGTAGATGCCCTCCAATCCCCTTAAACTACATCTCCCATCCTCCCCAGCCTGGTGGATGAGGGGAGAAGATGCCCCTGAGCCAATTGAATTATACTTCCCATCCTCCCCAGCCTGGTGGGGTGAGGGGAGTAGATGCCCCCCAATTCCCTTAAACTACATCTCCCGTCCTCCCCAGCCTGGTGGGTGAGGGGAGTAGATGTCCCTGAGCCACTTGAACCACACCTCCCATCCTCCCCAGCCTGGTGGGGCGAGGGGAGTAGATGTCCCTGAGCCAATTGAATTACACCTCCCATCTTCCCCAGCATGGTAGTTCCACCCAAATTGGGTGTGCACGTTTGGTGGGAAGACCGGATGACTTTTCTTCCTTCTTCTATTTCCTTTGGCTCTTTCGACCCTACTTGCTTTCCCGTCTCCCAGTCCCGGAGAAGGGCTACTTCAGAACTTGGGGACCCTGGTTCAAATCCTCCCCTCCACCTGTCACTTAGCTGCACCGGTCTAGATCCGCTCCTGTCTTTCAACCGGACCGACCTCGCAGGGCTGTGGTGAAACAAATCAAGAGGAAAGTTTTTGTTGTGTTTGTTGTCATCAGCTGACTCCAGCAAGCATAGGATTCCGGTGGAATGAAAACAGTTTCTTGCTTTTCAGTTCTTCTGGCATTAGAATAAAACGTTGTTATACGTAGGATAACTGTCTTCCGTTCAGCAATATTTAGCTTTTCTCCTGCGTGAAGAGATTCCATATGTTCAGGCAGAACTTCTTCCTAAGGGGGTCAGTCCTCAACTCTTCCAGCTCAAATGGGGAGGCAAAAAACACACAGCCTGTATGATGTAGCAATCTTGGTGAAGCTAAGCAAGGTTGGGTTTGGCCAGTTCCTGTACAGGAGACCATTTAGGAACCCCATAATAATTTATTTTAATTTCACGGTGAGTAAATGGCTGGTCTAATGATAGTTGAAGTGAGGCCCGTGGTGCTCTCTGAGCTTGGTGGTTTTCTTGCAGGCGTTTCATGACCCAACTAAGTAACATCATCAGTGCTAGAAGGAGGAGGAGGACTGTGGGGGTCCTTGCTGCTCTCTGAGCTTGGTGGTTTTCTTGCAGACGTTTCATGACCCAACTAAGTAACATCATCAGTGCTAGAATGAAGCGGGGGAGGAGGAGGAGGAGAACTGTGGGGTCCTTGGTGCTCTCTGAGCTTGGTGGTTTTCTTGCAGACATTTCATGACCCAACTAGGTAACATCCTCAATGCCAGAAGGGGCATTTGCACCAAAAAAAACAAAACCCACTCCTCTCCTAACTAAGTAGAACGTTTGAGCTGCAAATACGGGAGAGCAACGGCAAAGGTTGAGCAGATATTCAAATAAAGAAAGATAAATAAACACTGAGTGCAGCTCTGCCATATTTGCGTTGGCGTCTTTTCGGGGTGATAGCGAGGAAGATCTGATCCAGCTTTCTCCTGTCGGATAAACGTGCTTGTATTACAATTCCCATCGTTCCCAGCCTGCATGGCCACAGACTAGGGATTAATTTTGTGACACTTGAGAAGTAAGGCAGGAAAAAAAGCACTCAGATTTGTCGGAGAAACAGTTTCCCCTTGAAGATTAGAAAAGCCGATTTAGCTAGTTTCAACTGTGACTTAGAGAAGTTTCACTTTGTTAGGAAGTTCAGAGTTGTTGTGGCTTATTGTTGGTTTCCTATTCGTTTTCAGTCTGAGTTGTTATTTCGCTTGGTGTGTCTTTCATTTTTAGTTTTGTTTCAACTCTGTGTTCCAGCTTTCATATGCATCAGTTTAAAAGGTTCCCTCCTCCTTCTTTCTTTCTTTTTGCTTTTTGCTTTTAGCAATGGCAAACAAAAGTAATTTCGTTCTGTTTAAAAATAAACAACATGCAACATTATACACAAAAAGATCCTGCCGAAAGAGAGGGGAAAAAAAGCTAAAACTAATAACTAAAAAACTAAAAAAAAAAAAAGAGGGACGAAGTCATGCAGGAGAAATATTTACAAATACGTATAAATTAAAATGGTAACCATCTATCACGGTAATGCTTCACGCCTCATCTGTGTTGATAAGCGAAAAACAACTGACTTACAACTGGTCCTCGTACAACGTTGCACGTCCCTGCGGTCACGTGATCAAAATCCGGGTACTTCCAACCGGCACGTATTTACCAACCTGGAACTGAGAAGGAATTTCCTGACAGAATAATGAATCAGTTGCTTCCAGATTTGGTGGGTGCCCATGATGGGAGGTTTTTAGAAGAGATTGGACGACCATTTGTCTCGATTCGTGTAGGGTCTCTGTCCTGAGCAGGGGGTTGGACTAGAAGACCTCCGAGGTCCCGCTCTTCTCTAATTCTGTATCCCTTTCTCTCCTTCCTCAGAGCCACAGGTTATGAGCCTCCATGAATACGAGGAAACGCCACGGCTCCCGAAACACTGATCAAGGCGTTTACCTGGGGCCGTCCCAGACGCAAGCTTTCTCTCCGCTGGGTGCCCCTCCCGCTGCGGCTGCTGCTGCCACGGCCGCCCCTGTCAGCCCTCCTCAACCCCAGTGGGACGCCATGTCGTGTCAAGACCGCACCCTGGAGTTCCGCTCGGCCTGCAAGTCCTTGCAAAGCAGAGAAGTGAGTGCCGGGCGTGGAAGACCACGATGCTTGATGCTCCTTTGATCTCTTTGAACCTCAAACCCCTTCCTTCCCTCCCTCCCTCCCTCCTTCCTTCTTTCCTTCCCAATGGTTAAAATGCAGTATTGCAGACTGCTGTCAGGAGTTCAATCCTTAAAATAGCCCTTCCTTCCTTCCTTCCTTCCTTCCTTCCTTCCTTCCTTCCTTCCTTCCTTCCTTCCTTCCGTCTGTCCCTCCCAGTGGTTAGAATGCAGTATTGCAGGCTAACTCTGCTGACTGTCAGGAGTTCAATCCTGAAAATAGGTATTCCTTCCCTCCCTCCCTCCCTCCCTCCCTTCCTTCCTTCCTTCCTTCCCAATGGTTAGAATGCAGCATTGCAGGCTAACTCTGCTGACTGTCAGGAGTTCGATCCTGACCGGCTCAAAGTTGACTCAGCCTTCCCTCTTCCCGAGGTCGGTGAAAATGAGGACCCATGTTTTGGGGGCAATAGGCTGACTCTGTAAACCGCTTAGAGAGGGCTGTGAAGCACTGCGAAGCGGTATATACGTCTAAGAGCTATTGCTCTCCCCCCCCCCCCAGCATGGTTCGTAACCCCTCTCTTCCCCCACGCAAAACAGACTAAAACCTGACTTAAGCTTTACCTGCAGAAATCCACCCTCCCAAGGCTGAGGGCCTGGCCCTGAGCATCGTAAAGGCCCGTTCACCCTTTTGCCCCTCCCAACAAAACCTCAGTGAAATGCAGGAGGCCACTGAGCAAGCTTTACAGCTCGACGCTGTGAAATCAGGATGCCTGGAAGGAAATGGAGATATTCTACCCCAGTTTCTTTCCGAGGACTTGTCTGCGACCTGCCCAGCAAGACGGAAGCCGGTTCTTCCCTCAAGCCTGACAGTCTTACGCAGAAGAAGTCAGAAGCCACGGGGCTTCCCATTTTCCAGCAATTCTGACTACAGATTCCTTTTGGGGATTTCCCCCCCCCCCACTCCTGGTGCCCAAACTTTCAGCTTTGCCCTTCGGATGATCCTCGGTGAAATGGGCGGGCTGGCGGGAATCAACCGCTGGATTCAAGCTGCGGTGGTTGAAACCTTTAAAGACAGGAAGTGGCTGTTGGGATCCTGCCCAGCGCAGGGAAATGCACGTCCTGAATTAGCCTTTTCCCACCCTCGGAAAAGGGAGGGTGTGTAGACTTTGGTTTTTCCGATGGGGATAAAACAGCATTTTTCTCTTTCTGCTTTTCCCTTCCCAGAACGGGCTTCACGTGAACAAGCCGGCGCAGAGCGGGGCCATCCGGCAGAGGAGTGAATTTACTCTCATGGCCAAGTAAGCACGCCGGGCCGTTTTACGTCCAGCCAGGGTGACTGTGAAGTCAAGGTGGGCAGGGTGGAGCCCCCGATGGACGCCTTTCGGCCAAAATTGCTACAACACTGGGGGGAAAAGGGACTTACGACCGTTTTTCACACTTACGGCCGTTGCAGCATTCCCCCCCCCCCGGGGTCATGTGATCCAAATTCAGACACTTAGCCACCGGTTCATATTTACGACGGTCGCAGCGTCCTGGGGGGTCACGCAATCCCCTTTTGCAACCTTCCGACTTAACCGCAGTGCTTCGTTCGGCAGCTGTAAGAAGAACGGTTGTAAACTGGGGGCAAAGCTCACTTAACAAATGTCTCATTTAACAACGGAAATTTGGGGCTCAGTTGTGGCGGTACGAGAACGACCGGTATTAAGAGCGAGTTATGATCAAACATACGTCGAGACCTTGATGAACGACTTGTCGCTTCCCGAGCATTTGAAGTCACAGTGTGCCCAGATCTACTTATAACCTGTTTTCAGATTTATGTTGGCTGGCACATAAACGGGGTTTATGCTATCGCATTTTGGGCACTTAGCCAATTGCAGCATTCCACTCAGGTGTCATTGTGGATTTTATTTATTTATTTATTTGTTTGTTTGTTCATTCATTCATTTATTTATGCATGCTGGTTACCAGGATTTAATTCCTGTTTCTGGCAAAAACTTGGCCAATTGCAGCATCCCAGTCAGATGTCATTGTGGATTTTATTTATTTGTTTGTTTGTTCATTCATTCATTTATTTATGCATGCTGGTTACCAGGATTTAATTCCTGTTTCTGGCAAAAACTTGGCCAATTGCAGCATCCCAGTCAGATGTCATTGTGGATTTTATTTATTTGTTTGTTTGTTCATTCATTCATTTATTTATGCATGCTGGTTACCAGGATTTAATTCCTGCTTCTGGCAAAAAACCTGGCCAATTGCGACATCCCGGTCAGATGTCATTGTGGATTTTATTTATTTGTTTGTTTGTTTATTCATTTATTTATGCATGCTGGTTACCAGGATTTAATTCCTGTTTCTGGCAAAAAACCTGGCCAATTGCAGCATCCCAGTCAGATGTCATTGTGGATTTTATTTATTTATTTATTCATTAATTTATGCATGCTAGTTACCAGGATTTAATTCCTGTTTCTGGCAAAAAGTTGGCCAATTGCAGCGTCCCAGTCAGGTGTCATTGTGGATTTTATTTATTTGTTTGTTTATTCATTCATTTATTTATGCATGTTAGTTTACCAGGATTTAATTCCTGTTTGTGGCAAAAACCTGGCCAATCGCAGCATCCCAATTAGGTGACCTTGTGGATTTTTATTTGTTTTGTTTGTTTTTGCCAGTTACCAGGATTTACTTCCTGTTTCTGCCCAAAAACAACAACAACAACAACCCTCCAATGGTGGAAAAGTATTTTCCTTGACGACTACATTTGCTTAACTGTCGCTACCCAAAAAAAAAAAAAAGTCATAAAATCAGGTCCGCAAGTGTAATTCCTCGACTTACGACGGCAACAACTTAACAGCCATCATACTGGGCTCAGTTATTAGCCTGGTAAATTAAGGACCACCTTTAATTCAGGAGTGATTGTCAAAGATGATTCAGCATAGGGAGCAATCTTGTCTGTCAAGGATTCGGTGTCGTACGTGACGGCCCCGTCTCTTCTTCTTCTCAGGCGCATTGGGAAGGACCTCAGCAACACCTTCGCCAAGCTGGAAAAGCTAACGATTTGTGAGTATCCTGGGATGTTTGTGCTGAAAAGGAAATTGTGTGACTCGTAATCGGGAGGTGAGAGAGAGAGAGAGAGAGAGAGAGAGAGAGAGAGAGAGAGGCATCAGCCAAATTAATGGAAAGCAGGAACAGCGCAGGGATGAGAAAGCGGGCAGCTGTCTATGAATAGAATATTTGTAGCTCAGGGTGAATCTGTCAGTAGTCTCCTGAGCTTGGTTGCTTTTTTTTGCAGACGTTTCATGACCCAACTAGGGAACGTCGTCAGTGCTAGAAGAGAGTGAAGTTTGTGGAATGGAGGAGAGGGGAGAATGGGTAGAGGAGGAGAAGGAGGACTGTGGGGTGCTTGGTGCTGTCTGAGCTTGGTTGTTTTCTTGCCGATGTTTCGTGACCCTAATAGGTAACATTAGCAGGGCTAGAAGGAGGGGTTTGTGGAGAGGAAGAGGAGGAGGAGGGAAGGAAGGGAGGAAGGGAAAGAGGGAAAAGGAGGGAGGAAGAGAAAGAGGAAAGGGAAGGCAGTATGGAGGGAAGGAAGGAAGAAAGGGAGGGAAGAAAGGTGGAGGAAGGAAGGAAGGAAGGAAGGAAGGAAAGGAAGGAAGGAAGGAAGATGTAAGAAAACTGCGAGGGAGAGGGACTTGGTGTGCTTGCCAGGGGATACAGGGAGGGCAGGTGAAAGAAAAAAATAATAATCCCATATCTGACTCTTTGCCTGCTCAGTGGCCAAACGGAAATCGCTTTTCGACGACAAGGCGGTGGAGATAGAGGAGCTGACTTACATCATCAAGCAGGTAAGGAAGGCGGGGGGGGCAGAAGGACGGAGCAGGCAGGCTGAAAAGGACGGCAAACAGCCGCTCTGTCGGGCCCTCATCCCTCATCCCAGCTCCTTCCTCCTGGCAGGATATCAACAGCCTCAACAAACAGATCGCACAACTCCAGGAGTTTGTCAAAGCCAAAGGCAGCCTGACGGGCAGGCACGTGCAAACACACTCCAACACCGTGGTGGTTTCTCTGCAGGTAAGGCTTCAAAGCCCTTTTGTTGTTGTTAGTTGCGAAGTCGTGTCCGACCCATCGCGACCCCATGGACCACGTTCCTCTGGGCCTTCCGGACCTCTGCCATCTTCTGGAGTCCATTTAAGCTCATGCCTGCTGCTTCAGTGACTCCATCCAGCCACCTCCTTCTCTGTCGTCCCCTTCTTCTCTTGCCCTCCATCTTTCCCAGCATCAGGCTCTTCTCCAGGGAGTCCTTCCTTCTCATTAGGTGGCCAAAGGACTTGAGTTTCAACTTCAGGATCTGGCCTTCTAAAGAGCAGTCGGGGTTGATCTCCTCTAGGACTGACCGGTTGGATCGCCTCGCAGTCCAGGGGACTCGCAGGAGTCTTCTCCAGCACCAGAGTTCAAAGGCCTCCATTCTTTGGCGCTCAGCCTTTCTTAGGGTCCAACTTTCACAGCCATACATTGCAACTGGGAAAACCATGGCCTTGACTATACCCACTTTTGTTGGCAGGGTGGCGTCTCTGCTTTTGAGTATGCTGTCTAGATTTGCCATGGCTTTCCTCCCCAGGAGCAAGCGTCTTTTAATTTCTTGGCTTTTTAGGAGTTTTTTTTTTTTAGCCCTTTTAGGTTTTCTCAATTTTGGGGAGCAGGGGGGAGACTGGGGGGGGGGAGGAAAAGGCTGCAAAATTGTGCACTTCTTGCAGGATTGAACTTGGGGCTTGCTTTTCCCCCCCAGCGCTGAGGTTTCAGATATGGAGCTAATTCTTGGTGCATCTAAAACAGGCTTCCTGCGCCAGTAACAGTGGGAAGAAGTTTTCTCTGACCCACAGAGCAGGAGAGCCAACGCTGGGTTTTGTCTTGACTTCCCCCTTCTTCTTTTTCTAGTCGAAGCTGGCTTCCATGTCCAATGATTTCAAATCCGTTTTGGAGGTGCGGACGGAGGTGAGTTCCCCATCCGCTGTGGTTTTCAGGCTTTCAGGGAGCTGCTGTGGGACAGTGCGGTGGCCCTTTTCACTTCATTAGCTGTCGGGAAGGGAGAGGGAGAGAGGGAAGGGAAGGGAAGAAATGGAAAAGGGAGAAAGGCAGGCAGGCAGGAGATGGAAGGGGAGGGAGAGAGGGAAGAAATAGGAAAGGGAGAAGGGCAGGCAGGAAGGAGATGGAGATGGAAGGGAAGGGAAGAAATAGAAAAGGGAGAAAGGAAGGAAGGAAGGAGATAGAAATGGGAGGGAGAAAGGAAGCAAGGAAGGAGAAATAGGAAGAGGGAAGGAGGAAAGAAGGAAGGAAGGAGATAGAAATAGAGAGAAAGGAAGGAAGGAAGCAAGGAAGGAGAAATAGGAGGAGGGAGGCAGGAAGGAAGGAAAAAGAAATGGGAGGAAGGAAGGAAGGAAGGAGGGAGAAATAGGAAGGGGAGGGAGGCAGATAAGGAAGGAGATAGAAATGGGAGGAAAGGAAAGGAAGGAAAGAGAGAAGGGACGGAAGGAGGAAGGAAGAGCAGAAGAAGACATTGATTAATCGATGATCAATTATATGGTGTGAGACAGAGCAGGTGTGTTTATATAGGTATGTAGCTATATGGTGGAATAGAATATTATAAATAGAGAAAGGGGCAACTGTAGCCATAGAACTAGAGGTTCTTGGACAATCAGGATATTCAGTCACAAGCCTGGGGTAGGGTGGGGGGGGGACATAAAAACGTTCCTTTTGACCAGCTCTGCCCCACTGCCGTAACAGGAAGCCTCCTTTCCAGATTAAGATGTGGTCACCTTGGTGGTCTGCCTGGCCCCCTTAATCTCTTGGCCCTGCCTCTCCCCCCTTCCTTCCCCAGAATCTTAAGCAGCAGAAAAGCCGGCGAGAACAATTCTCCCGTCCCCCAGTAGCCACCATGTCTCTTTCTGCAAACAACCTAGGTGAGTTCTCTCTCTCTCTCTCTCTCTCTCTCTCTCTCTCTCTCTCTCTCTCTCTCTCTCTCTCTCTCTCTCTCTCTCTCACACACACACACACACACACACACACACACACACACACACACACGGGGAAGGAGGCGGGGTGAAACCTTGGACCGTCCCTGGAAAGGGAGGCTTGGGAGGTGCCGTTTCTGACGTTGTCTCCGTCCGCTGTAGGTTCCAGCGTGCTTCAGGACGAGCGTCGGTACTCGGGAGATGTGGCCATTGACATGGACAATCGGACGAGCCAGCAGTTGCAGCTAATCAATGAGCAGGTGCCTTTGAGATGGGGATGGGCAAAAGAGGAAGTGGAATGTTGTCTGTCTATTTTTTTATCTATCCCTATCTCCCTTTCTATCATTTGTCTACATCTGTCCATCATCTGTCTGTCATCTATCTACCTGTCTGTCTAACTCTATCTCCCTTTCTATCATTTATCTCTGTCCATTATCTCTCTCTCATCTCTCTTTTTTCTCTCTCTCTATCTATCCTATCTCTATCTATCTATCTATCTATCTATCTATCTATCTATCTATCTATCTATCTATGTGTGTCTTTTTGCTAACCCCTGTTTTTTTGCGTTACGTTTGTAAATATTATTGCCGGCTTTAAAGGAGGCCATATTTAAGCTTTGCAGACTATGCTAAGGTTTCAGAACAACGATATGGAAAAACGCCAAGAGAGACCCCATCCCCGGTTTAAAAACCCACGGACTTTATGTTTTCTCCTCTGCAGGATTCGTACATCCAGAGCCGGGCGGACACTATGCAGAACATCGAATCGACCATTGTAGAGCTGGGCTCCATATTTCAGCAACTGGCACACATGGTTAAAGAACAGGAAGAGACGATCCAGAGGTCAGAGGCCCGAGGGAGGGGCTACGGGTTCTCACATGGCTTCTAAGCCATGGTTTGCTTAGCAGCAGCTTGTTAGGCAGCCACAACCTTAGACGGCTGATTACGTTGTGGTGAATCAGCCACAAGGCTTGGAAGTCCCATCTGTGTTGAGTGGACCATACAGGTGGTCCTCGACTTACAGCTGTCTCACTTAGCTATGGAAAGTTTGAGTGCCATTGTAGTTGCAATCAGACAACTAACTGTAGTCCTTGACCTACAGTTCTCAGTGTCGTTAAACCGAGGACGACCTATATTCAAGCAGCCCCGCAACAACCTGGGATCCCCTCTTCCCCTTAAAATATTTCCTTCTGGGTGGCTTAGGTGGCGGTAGGGCACCAGGGTGGGAGGGAGGGGGCTCTCCTGCTAAGCAAGCCCACTCCCCAATTTGTGCTGTGTCAGAGCGTGCCCAGTCTTATTGCGCTGAGATAACCCTGGAGTAAACACAGTAAACAGTGGTTTGTATTAAATGGTGGTTTATCTTACACTATCTACAACAGGGGTGTCCAACTCGCAACGTCACGTGACGTATTGCGACGTGTCGTGACTTTTTTTCCCATTGCCGGCAGTGGGGTGGCTGCGGTTTTCGGCATGACGTATCCGGCAGTTTGACACCCCTGATCTACAATATCATACACCAGGGACAATATGCATACATGTGGTAATACAGCGGGATCCAACAAACCACGATTACAGCAGGAAACGGAAGAAAGGGAACACATCAGCAGAGCCTTCCCTTTATTTGAAGGCTTTTCAAGAGACACAGACCCTGCTGGGTCCTTGCCATCATTACAATACATTCTACATCTTACGTTACATAAGCTGGTCAGCTGTTAAAGCAACCCCTTGACAGGCTGCCATTCTGCCCTTCCTTTAGAATCGATGCCAACGTGGAGGACACCGAGCTGAACGTGGAAGGGGCCCACATGGAAATCCTGAAGTACTTCCAGTCGGTCTCCTCTAACCGGTGGCTGATGGTGAAGATCTTCCTCATCCTGGTCGTCTTCTTCATCATCTTCGTGGTCTTTTTGGCCTGACGGAAGAGGGGGCTCGACCTCCCGTCCCCTTCCTCGCCGTCCTTCCCGAGCCGCGATGGACACTGGACACTTTCACGTCGGGCCAAGCCAGCCGGCCACGGAGGGCAGGGCCGTCCTCGCCTCGACCCCGCGCCGCAGAGCCCCGCCTCCCCTTGGCTGCGGTTCCTCGGCCGACAACGAGGCTGCCCCCTCTCGGAACGATGCTGCGAAGGGCCTTGCCGCAGAGCCCCCCTCGTCCCATGGGACTCGGCCCCGGGAGTGTGTGCGTACTGCGGTGTCTCTCAACCTGGGCCGCTTTAAGATGGGTGGACTTCAACTCCCAGAATTCCCCAGCCAGGGGAATTCTGGGAGTTGAAGTCCACCCATCTTAAAGCGGGCCAGGTTGAGTGACATTGGGATAGCGGGACCAGCATCTTCCCTCTTCCTCTTTTGTGTACATTTTCCCAACCCTTGACGTGCTAACAAGAACCTTCTTTAATTTTTTATTTTTAAAAAAAGCAAAAAACAAATATGCGATGAGTATCTCAGAATGGAAATCCAGCTTCCACGCCTCCCTCCTGGATTCCCGGGCGAAGGAGAGCTGGGTTTTCAGGATCACGATCCGGAGACTGGATTCTCTCCCTCCGTTTTAACGTATTTAACATATTGTCTTCTTCTTTTTTTTCTCTTTTCTTTTTTTTTCTTTTTCCCTTCTCTCTTTTTGGGGAGATCCAGTTCTCCAAGGGGAGCAGGCCCAGGCCCTTTGCTCAGCATGGCTGCTCTTTCCCCTTAGGAATATCCTCTGGAATGCAAGTTTTGTAGCACGATTGGGCCTTGCTGACCACGTGTGTCTTCTCTTCAGCTAAACTGGGATGGCCGATCATAGCTTGCACATGGTTGGAAAGGAGCCTCAGTTCTTCGGTCAATTGACAGGCTTTCCTCCTCCTTCTCCTCCTCCTTTTCCTCCTTCTCCCCCTCCCCTCTTTTCCCCTTCCTCCTTCCCTCTCCTCCCCATCCCCTTCTGTCTCCTCCTTTTCCTCCTTCTCCTTTCCCCTTCCCCTTTTCTCTTTCTCCTTTCCTCCTCTCCCTTCCCTATTCTCCTCCTCCTCCTTTCCCCTTCCTTTCCTCCCCTTCTGTCTCCTCCTCCTTTCCCCCTTCTTTCTTCCTCCCCTTCTGCTTTCCTCTTCCCCTTTTCTCTTTCTCCTTTCCTCCTCCCCCTCCCCTCTTCTTCTCTTCCTCCATTCCCCTTCCTTTCCTCCCCTTCTCCTTTTCTCCTCTCTTCCCCTTTTCTCTTCGTCCTTTCCTCCTCTCCCTCCCCTCTTCTTCTCGTCCTCCTTTCCTCCTCCCCTTCTGTCTCCTCCTCTCTCCTTCTCCTTCCCCTTTTCCTCCTTTTCTCCTCTCATTCTCCTTCCCCCCCCCCTTCCCCCAACCCCCAAGCAGATTTGCTCTCTGGTGCAGGAGCAAAGAACCTGCACGCCTCAAATTATTAATTATTATTAATTCTTCCCCCCCCCCCCGCCTGTAGCTTTCCCGAGAAGGTCTAGGGCGCTTAGTTCAGGAGCCTTAGGTGAGGGGAGAGTTTTCCACTTCCCTTGCCCCCAGCAGGGCCCTTCCGCTTCCTTTCCGCTTCCTTTCGGATCCAACCGTTCTCTTTTCCCTGGGAAGAAAGGAGTGGAGGAAGCGTTTCCTGATTTTCCCAAACTTAATTTTTAACACTACTAGAGAAGAATAAAATGTGTTCTTTAATCTCCTGCCCCTTCCTTTTCTTTCTTTTTTTTTTTTTAAGAAAAAAAAACCCCCCAAAGCCTATGCTGGAGCCATGTCATCTCCTTCTTGGCCTGGTTATGGTGGCTGAGCCATCACTTCCTTTTCCTCTTTCCCCCCCCCCTTAAATAGGGAGCTGGGGTTCTCTTCCTCCCCTCCACCCACCTTGCAAGGACCCTTCATGTCGGTATCTTCTTCCATTCTGCAAAAACTTGCTCCTTCTAAGAGGCTGGGCCAGTAAGTGGGGAGGGGGGGGATCTGTCCGCTGTAGGTAGGAAAAAGCTGTTTCTAATCCAGACTTTATCAGCCAGCGGTCCCAGCTCTTCCTTGTGCTCTGAAAACAATTAAACGGAAAAAGCCTACTTTAAACCAACATCCCACCCCTTCTTGCGTCTTGTGTGCTGGCCTTGATTCGATGCCTCTTAACCATTGACCTCCACTTTTTTTCCCCCCTCTATGGAGATCGTCCGCCATTCAGCCCACGGTTGTCCCAAAAGCGCTTTTTCAAGACTTCCTAGGGTTGTTGTTTTTTTTTTTCCTTTGAAGATGTTTCGCTTCCCCTCCGGGAAGCTTCTTCCGTTCCGCAGACGCGTTCAACCTACCCAGGGAGCGACTGGGTGAATCCAGCCCGTGGGGGTTATTGTAGCTTTGTTTGGGCCTGCCAATCCAGAAGACTTGGCTCGATCTGTTTAGGATGTGTTAAACGGGGTTTTGTGTGCCCTGCGGGTCCCTCTTTTAAGGGTGCAGCGATAGCCCCAGCCAAAGTCACAGCTTATGTATGTACAAGTGGTCCTTGACTTACAGCCATTTGTTTTGCAGCCGTTAAGCGATCCTCGTAACCATGCGTGGCAAAACAGGTCATAAAATCAGATGCGACTAGAGATGTAAAATTTCTGGGAATTTTGAAGCCGTGAGAAAAAAAAACCCACCCTTTTTTCCCTGTTTTTTTTTCCAGAAAAAAATAGAAATTTTGGAAAAATTTGGGGGGGAAAAGTTCAGCGTGGAGTAATTTTACCAATTGCGTGAAATACAGTGTGTATAAAAGTATTGTGCTTGCAATAAAACAGGTAACCATCCCCCTTTCCCTCAAAAGCAACAAAAAATAGCAAAAAACCATCAACAGCCTCAGAAATCGTTCATTAAGGTCTTTGTGCTCTATAGTTTGAATACCATGTCATAGATATATTATTTATCTTTGGAAAAGAACATATTCCACACTTCTTTTTTTCCCAATTTTTCCTGGAAAAAAAACAGGAAAAAATCTGTTTTTCCTCCCCATTTTTTTCCAGGTTTTTTCCCCCCAGGTCTTCTCATCTCTAGGTGTGACTGACGTAACCACCACTGCTTAGCAACAGAAACTGTGGTCCTAATTAGTATAAATCGAGGGCTACCTGTACAGCACGTTAGAAGTAGCATCCTTATCCTCCTGTAAATTTGCTGGTCTTCAGATCGTGGGATATAAATTACATTAAAGCGTTCAGACATCATGCCAGCTTTATTAGCACGACACACGACCTCTTCCAACTTTAATAAGCCCACCAAACTGTGGCAACAGGTGAAGGGCAAGGCATCCCTCTAAACCACCATTCAGGGCCAACCGTAACAAACAAGCTTTGGAAGTTTTTCCAAGAGCGGCCAGCCTTCCTTCCCCAACCTCCCTTCTGCCTCTAAGTCAGGGGTCTTCAAACTTGGCCCTTTTGTGACTGGTGGACTTCAACTCCCAGAATTCCTCAGCCAGGGACGCCTGGCTGGGGAATTCTGGGAGTTGAACTCCACCAGTCACAAAAGGGGCCAAGTTTGAAGACCCCTGCACTAGGGTCAAGGGTGACTTAGAGGGACCCTTTTCCTTAGACCAGGGGGTCTTTCAAACTTGGCAACTTTAAGACTGGTGGACTTCAACTCCCAGAATTCCTCAGCAAGGCACGCTGTCTGAGGAATTCTGGGAGTTGAAGTCCACGAGTCACAAAAGGGGCCAAGTTTGAAGACCCCTGCACTAGGGTCAAGGGTGACTAGAGGGACCCTTTTCCTTAGACCAGGGGGTCTTCAAACTTGGCAACTTTAAGACTGGTGGACTTCAACTCCCAGAATTCCTCAGCCAGGCACGCTGTCTGAGGAATTCTGGGAGTTGAAGTCCACCAGTCACAAAAGAGGCCAAGCTTGAAGACCCTTGCTCTATGTCTATGGTTGCAAAAGCGGCTAGAAAGGAGGAGAGCGATACGCGCCTGCGCGGCCTGCTTCCCGACCTTCCCCCCGTGCGGCGCGTTCCCCGGAAATCCCTCACCGCGCCTGCGCGCTACCTGCCGCACATGCGCATCGGGCGATTTGGAGCGACGCCGCCTTCGTGCGAGAAGGGGGGGAGAAGAAAGGCGGCGGCGGCGGCGGTTGCGGCGGCCAAAGACTCTCCTCCGAGGCGCCTCTCCGGCCTTCCGCTCGGGCGCTCGTGTGGCAGGCAGCCGTTCTCCGAGGTGCCCGCCAACGGGGCTCCCTTCATGGCCGACGGCGGGAAAGGCGGATACAGCGGTGAGTGGGGGGGGGGGCGGGAGGGGCTTCCCAGAGCGTCCCCGGCCAGCCAGGCCTACCTCGCAGGGTCGTTGTGCATGGGAAGGAAAGGCACCTCGGGGAAGCGGGAGGGGTCGTTGCCTGGGAAACCAAGGAGGGTTCTGATGGGGGAGGGGCTCGAGCCCTCCGTCCTCCCCCCCACCGAGAAGCGCCACGTGGATGGTTCTCTTTCTCTGCCCGGCCTACCTTGCGGGGTTGCTGTGATGGGGGAAGGAAAAAAGGGGAAACCCCCGAGTTTGGGGGCTTCCTAAGGAAAAACTGTGTGTAAATCTAATTCTTAAGAAGGGTCTCTCTTTGAATTACAACAATTGAAACATGGGGTTGGATGCAATAGATTTGTGTGTGTGTAAATCTAATCCTTAAGAAGGGTCTCCCTTTGAATTATTACAATTGAAACATGGGGTTGGATGCAATAGATTTGAGTTTGTGTGCGTGTGTGTGTGTAAATTCTTAAGGGTCTCCCTTTGAATTATTATAATTGAAACATGGGGTTGAATGCAATAGATTTGTGTATGCGTGTGTGTGTGTAAATCTAATCCTTAAGGGTCTCCCTTGGAATTATTACAATTGAAACATGGGGTTGGATGCAATAGATTTGTGGGCACTGACAGGGTGCTGTCTGCAGACAGTCATCGACTTACAACCGTTTGTTTAGTGACCGTTTGAAAGTTACAACGGCACTGGGGGGAAAAAAAGACTTCGTTGTTAAGTTAGCCACACCATTGTTAAGTGAATCTGGCTTCCCCCATTGACTTCCCCCATTGTCGGATGGTCACAGAAGGGGAATCACGTGATGCCTGCCCGGGACGCTGGGACCGTCATAAAGATGAGTCAATTGCCTGAGTGTCTGAATCTTCATCACGTGACCGTGGGGGGAACGCTGCAATAGCCGTAACTGTCAAAATCACTTTTGTCGGTGCTGTTGTAACTTTGAACAGCCACTAAGCAGACTGTTGTAAGTTGAGGATCAGCTGTATTTGTAATAGAGTGAACCCTAGTCTGTTTCGGAGCCTTAACACAGAGGTCCCCAACCTTTTGGGCACCAGGGACCATTTACATGAATAGAGGTTTTTCCACGGACTGGAGGGTGCGTGGTTTTGTGTGCTGCCTGCCTCCCACGAATGGGGCTTTGCTTGTTTGTGCGGACCGGTTGCTGACATGCCGCAGCTTGGTACCGGTCAATGGACCGGGGGTTGGGGACCCCTGATTTGGGTCACTGTTGGAAGGCATGAACCATTTTGAAGGGCATTCCCAATCCCCAAATGCAGACTGGCCTGTATTCCCAACCCTATGGGCTGGGAATAACAGAATAACAGAGTTGGAAGGGACCTTGGAGGTCATCTATCCAACCCTCTGCTCAAGGCAGGAGACCTTAAACCACAGGTCCCCAACCTTTTGGGCACCAGGGACCGGCTCCGCGGAGAGTGGTTTTTTCGCGGACCGGTGTGTGTCTGTGGTTTTGTGTGCTGCCTGCATCCCGCAGATGGGGCTTTGCTTGTTTGTGCGGACCGGTTGCTGACATGCCGCAGCCCGGACTGGGGGTTGGGGACCCCTGCCTTAACTGACCCAATCCTCGTTTCTCCAAACCAATGTTTCTCAACCTTAGCAAGAAGCCAGCTGGGGAATTCTGGGAGTCGAAGTCCACCTTGATTAAAGTTGAGGAGTACCTCGCTCTGAATATTTTGCCTGCGGCCTGTTCACACAACTGAACTGTTGTCAAGACGGCCCACCAAGGTTTGGATCTGGTCTCCTTTTTTCCAGAACATGACGACCGTGTGGGCGGCAGCAACAGGAGCTTTGGGCGGAGGAGAAAGGGCCGTGTCCCCTTCCGGGGGAAAATGTACAGCGAGATGGGCCACCACCAGCGCGGCTGGAACAGTTCTGGATCCGGCCCTCGTAGCTGGCTTGACGATGACGACGGGGACGTCCTCATGAGCGATGCCCACGAAGTGCTCCGGACACGCTAGTGAGAAACAGCTTCTCTTGGATAGTCACTAATAATAATGATGATGATGATGATGATAATGATAATAATAGGAATAGAGTCAGCCTGTTCTCCAAATCACCTGAAAGCAGGACAAGCAACGAATGGAAACTAATCAAGGAGAGAAGCAACTGAGAACTAAGGAGGAATTTCCTGACAGTGAGAACAATAATATAACAATAACAACAATAGAGTTGGAAGGGACCTTGGAGGTCATCTATTCCAACCCCCTGCTCAGGCAGGAAACCCTACCCCATTTCAGACAAATGGCTGTCCATTCTCTTCTTAAAAACTTCCAGTGTTGGAGCATTCCCCGCTTCTGCATGATTATCAAGGTTGGGTCAAAACAAAAAGATTCCTTTTTTTGGCCAGTTTTCATAAGACCCCCCCAATCTCTAGCTAAAAGGGACTTTCACAATTTTTTTTGGGGGGTGAGCTGTAGTTACCTGTTGTAAAGTAATAAATGCACAGTCAACAGATGTATGTGTGTTTTGGTTTAATGTCCTAGTCTACATGTAGAACCTTTTATACACAACATGAAAGGCAGGCGCTGGGAGAAAAGTCAGCCTTTCCTGCCTAACCAGATTCATTTCCTGGCTGAGAAATTCCAGGGTTTGCTTCTAGGAAGCTGGGGAATTAAGGTCATCTGATTCATTGGCTACCCTAGTAATTAGACTAAAAGAGCCGTGAAGTTAAAGCAGCTGAGAAACTAGTAACTGGAACATGTTCATGATTTAGAAATTACAGACTGCTAGTATTCTAGGTAGCCTCGTTTATTAAAGTAGAACTGTAACTTAAAAAAAAGAAAATTAAAAAAAATATATAAGTAATCTTCAACTTACAACAATTCATCTATCTATCATCTATCTATCTATATCTAGTTATCTATATCATCTATCTATCATCTATCTACCTATCTATCTACCTATCTATCTATCTATCTATCTATCTATCTATCTATCTATCTATCTATCTATCTATCTAATCTATCATCTATCTATCATCTATCTATCATCTATCTATCTAATCTAATCTATCATCGTCTGTGACATTACTACTGATCTGAATTTCACTCCGGGCAAACGAATTCAATTGGGTCTCTGTGGTCCATAGTAAAAAAAATGTTTCTTTACCTCTTAGTACTCCTTACGGGTCACGTCCGCACCGACCAGACCGAGGGACGCCGAGCCTTATGAACGCCATCGTGAGACGGAATCTGAATATTGGAGACCGTGCTCCTGCTCACAAGGGGCCAGTCAGCAAGAAGACTTGGTTCAAGATTACGGTGAGCCACGGAGCAGGAGCGCAGGCGTTTGGCCGTTCAGAAGGACCGTGGTACAATGGAGGAGAGCTGTTGTGCTCAAGATATTCCTCCAGTTTTGACTGAGCCATTTCGGGCTTTTTCAGGAACGGCTAGTGTCTTCCTTCCCTGGCCCTCTTCTTGTCTCCTTGAGTCTTAACTGTCCTCACAGGCTTGCACTTTTTCTTCTTATGAATTTGGTTGGGTCTGGCTAGCTAAGGCATAATGCTAGAAAACAGGAGATGGGGAGTTCTAGTCCCGCCTTAGGCGCAAAAGCCAGCTGGGTGACTTTGGGCCAGTTCCTCCCTCTCAGCCCAACTAACCTCATAGGCTTTATTGTTATGGGGAAAATAGAGGGGGGGGGGAGCGTTGGATATTAGGTGTGTTTTCAGTTCTGTTTATAAAAATAATAAAGATGTGATTAAAAAAATCCAATAAATACATTCTGAAAGAGTTGAGATTTAAAATGTGGCCAGGAAATCTTTCGAATAAAAAAATTGGAATGGAGGGGCCGCAAAAAGAAAATGCTGTGGTATTCTTTTAATATATGTAGGTAGGTAGGTAAGTAGGTCAATAGAGATAGAAAGGATGGATGGATAGATGGATGGATGATTGAAAGGATGGATGGATGATTGAAAGGATAGATTGAAAGAGATAGATAGATAGATAGATGGATGGATGGATGGATGGATGGATGGATGGATGGATGGATGGATGGATGGATGGATGGATGGATGGATGATTGAAAGGATGGATGATTGAAAGGATAGATCGATGGATGGATGGATGGATGATTGAAAGGATGGATAGATAGATACAGAGATATAGAGATAGATATATGTAGATATTTAGAGGAATCTGCCAGTCAGGATTCGAAAGGAAAGTCAAAAAGCTTTGAGGACAGCTGTAGGAAGACAGCTTTTTTTCCCCTCCACCTGCCAGGCTGCGGGGTGTTTACCCAGGGCCCTTTCGGTGTTAACAACTTGTACACCTGTTGCCTTAAAGGGATATTAGCAGCAGATGAGAGAGAGAGAGACAGAATATCTGCTGCTCAGTTGTGCCTTAGAAATCCTGATTATTATTTTTTTTTACCGGCTTCTTGTGTGCTTCCTCGTCAGATTCCTTACGGAAGGAAATACGAAAAGAGTTGGTTGATGAACGCAATACGAGAAATTTGCAGCGTTCCCTTCGACCCCGTTGAGGTAAGCGAGCTTTCCCGGTCCCTCGAAGCTCTACAGGTAGTCCTCAACTTAAAACGGTTCGTTTAGTGATGGTTCAAAGTTACCTAACAAAAGGGACTTAATGACGGTTTCACGCTTAGCGACCGTTGCACCATCCCCGGGGTCACGTGATCAAAATTCAGACGCTCAGCAACTGACTCGTGTTTATAACGGTTGCGGTGTCCCACAGGGTCACGTGATCCCCTTTGGCGACCTTTCAATCAGCAAAGTCCATGGGGGAAATCCAGACTCTCTTAACGACCGTGTTGCTAACACAACAGCTGCAGTGATTCACTTAAGAGCTTTTGCCAGAAAAAGCTGTTCGTAAAATGGGGCAAACCGGCCCCAAACTGTCTCAGCGACAATAAATTTTAGGCTTGATTGTGGTCGTAAGTCGAGGACTGCCTGCATAGTCTGTAGGATCTCTTGACTAGATACCGGAGGGTTTTAGAATGGGGAGTCCTTGTTTAGTGACCGTTCGCAGTGACGTCACTAATGACAAAGGAGCGGTAGAACCAGTCCTCGTATTTCCCACTGTAGCAGCTCAAGCGAAAAGCCGAACGAAGATTTTAAGCACACTCACGGTTTTGCTTAGTGACTGCCTCACTTAAAAAGTCCCAAGTGTGGTCCCTAAAACGGGGAATAGGTGTATCAGTTGAGTAGAAATCATGTTGGAGGGTGGATCGTTTCTGATCCGTCCGGAATCGGGAGGAATCTGATACGTCTGGCCTAACCTGGTTATTGTTACCTTCCCTGTCTGTACAGTAACCAAAGTTTTGGGTCCTTTTTCCCCGTTATCGTGAATATCAGCTTTATTTTAGCTGGTATTTTAAGTGGGAAAGAGCTGTTTGGTCCCAACGCGGTGCTTTCTTCGCCTTACAGTTCCACTGCGTGAACAATCGGGTGGTGTTTTACGTGGAGGAGACTTCTGTGGCCAACGCCCTTAAGCAGATTTCTCGGAAAATCTGTTCTCCAGATGGGTACAAGGTTTGTGCTCCCTGGCCTGGGAGGTGCTGGGTGGGAGAGCCTGGCTCCAGAGCAGCCCCTTTAAAACCGATGGGTTGTCGTTTTCCCCCTTCCACACAAGCCTTTTGTTTCAGGTGGCGATACTGATAAACGCGTGCAACCCACCCACAACTGTCCAGCAAGAGCTGAAACCAGAAGAAATTGAGCAGCTGAAGGTAAAACAATTTAAACGCAGGCCACATCCTCCTGCTGGCTTGCCATACAGGTGGTGCTCCGTTGGGCAAAGAAAGAGAGGGAAGGAAGGAAGGAAAAGGAAGAAAAGAGGACAGGAAGGGAGGAAGAAAAAGAAAGATCAAAGGGAGGGAGGAATGGGGATAAAGGAAGGACGGGAAGAAGAGGGAGAGAAAAAGAAAGAGGGAAGGAAAAGGGAGGAAAAGAGGAAAAGAATAGGAAGGAAGGGACAAAGAAAAAGATCAAAGGAAAGGAGGAATGGGAATAAAGAAGGACAGGAAGAAGGGCAAGAAAAAAGAGGGAAGGAAGGAAGGAAAAGGAAAGAATGAAGGAGGGAGGAAAGAAATTGAGAGAGCGTATAGGATAGAGAGGAAAGGAACGAAAGGGAAGGAAGGAAGGAAGGAAGGAAGGAAGGAAGGAAGGAAGGAAGGAAGGAAGGATAACAGACTTGGAAGGGACCTTGGAGGTCTTCTAGTCCAACCCCCTGCTCAAGCAGGAAATCCTATACAATTCCGGACAAAGGGCTGTCCAGTCTCTTCTTTAAAGCCTCCAGTGATGGAAAAGGAAGGAAGGAAGGAAGGAAGGAAGGAAGGAAGGAAGGAAGGAAGGAAGGAAGGAAAAATTGATAGATGGTGTAGGAGAGAGGGAGAGAAAGACAGGAAGGAAGGAAGGAAGGAAGGAAGGAAGGAAGGAAAAAAGAAAAAGGGAGGGAGGAAATTGAGAGATGGTATAGGGGAGAGAGAGGAAGGGAAGCAAGGAAGAAAAAGAAAGCAAGAATAATCTAAAGTCACATGCAGGTGACACGGGAGGCATATGCATTTCATAAATCAGAGGCCATGGCAGGGGTCTTCAAACGTGGCCCTTTGATGACTTGTGGACTTCAACTCCCAGAATCCCTCAGCCAGGCAGGCTGGCTGAGGGATTCTGGAAGTCCACAAGTCATCAAAGGGCCACATTTGAAGACCCCTGGCCTATGGAGTCACCATCTCAGCAATTGCTGGCAGAAGCACCTGGTTGCTGAAACAACAGGGCGGAGACGCACAACTCTAATTAGCAGCCTGCGGGCCGAGTAAGCTTCCTGTTGTTGTTTGGCTCTCCTCTGACCCATGTTGGCCCTCCAAGTTCAAATGAGATTTGCTCTCTGGCTTTGGTGGGGGGGGGATGCAAATCTCCACGGCCCCCTCTCAAATAATCCTCTCCTTCTGCTTTCAGCAATGTATGAGTAAAAGATACGACAGCTCCCATCAAGCTTTGGATCTGAAGAATATTCACGCAGATCCGGGTAAGTCGTCCTCCCCTGTCTTTTCTCCCACGGACAGGGCAGATTTGAAACCAGTCCTGATTGAAAACCAGTCCAGCCCTACACACACACACACACACAGACACAAACACACGAGCAAGTAAACTTAACTCTCTTTGTTTGTTTCACAAAGTCTGCACCACTCCAAGAGTCCATTCTCAAAGGCTGGGCACCGATTCCCTTCCGAAGTGAAAACTCAACTCCTCTTTTCTTTTCTTCTCTCCCCTTCCCAGATCTGATAGCCCAAAATATCGACATTGTGTTGAACCGCCGAAACTGTATGGTTGCTGTGCTGCAGATCATCAACGACAACATCCCCGAGGTCAGCCCTTTTTCCCATCATTGATTGGGCCCCGCAAAAAATAGTGGATTTGGCAAAGTTTCCACAAACAATCGTGGGCTGCTTTGATGAACATTCCCTCCATTGGGGGGAAATGGCTGCGGTGTGGGCCGATCACTGATCCTTAAAACTCAGCATTTCTAACTTTTTTTTCCGTTTCCAATGGAGTGGAGTGGAGTGGAATGGGATCGAATGGAATGGAAAGGAATGGAATAGAATAGAATAGAATAGAATAGAATAGAATAGAATAGAATAGAATAGAATAGAATAGAATAGAACAAGGGAATAGAATAGAATAAGGGAATAGAATAGAATAAGGGAATAGAATAGAATAGAATAAAACAAGGGAATAGAATAGAATAAGGGAATAGAATAGAATAAGGGAATAGAATAGAATAGAATAAGGGAATAGAATAGAATAGAATAGAATAGAATAGAAAACAGTTGGAAGGGACCTTGGAGGTCTTCTAGTCCAACCCTCTGCATCCGTGTTTTTTTCCGAATGCCGCAAAGGGGTATTTTTTGAGCCATACATCTTTATTTACTTTTGTACCACCCTACCTTTGTAAATAGTGTGTGCATAGTGCTCCTGCTGCTGTTTTCCCCATCACAAGAACAACAATCTTGTGAGGTGGGTTGGGCCATGAGAGCAGGCCTGGCCCAAAGTCACCTGGCCGGCTTTCATGCCTAAGGCGGGACTAGAACTCGCCGTCTCCTGGTGATGGGCCCAAAGTCACCCGGCCGGCTTTTCTGCATAAGGCTTCCAAATTGTCACAGCTTGTCTGACTCACAACCCTCTCTTCCCTTTGCAGCTCCTGTCCCTCAATCTGAGCGACAACAAGCTGTATCGTCTTGACGACATGTCGGAGCTGCATCAGAAAGCTCCCAATCTGAAGATACTCAATTTATCTTTTAACCAGGTAAGCCCGGGGGGGGCTCCTCCTCCTCAAAGCTGGATCTGGGCTTAGCAAACTCGCCCCTGTTTGACTCTTCCTCCTCCTCCTCCTCCCCCTCCCCCTCCTCCTCCCCCCTTCCCTCTTGACTCTCCCCAGCTAAAGACCGAACACGAGCTGGACAAGCTGAAAGGCTTAAAGCTGGACGAACTCTGGCTGGACAACAACATCCTGTGCGACAACTTTCGGGACCGCTCCGTTTATATCAGGTGAGCCGCGGGGTCTCGGGCCTGCCTCGCCTACCCGGAGGAGAGCCGCCCTGCCCGTGGCCCGGACCGTGACGGGGATGCCAGTCCGTCCCAGAGGCCTTCTCCCCCCGCCTGGTTGAGGGCTGCCTTCCCAGGAGGCTGCCTTCCCGGCTGAAGTCCTTCTACCTTCTCCCAACTTGCTTTGCGATGTGTTCTGACCATGGTTTTATTGCAGCTAGATTGGAGCACTGCCTGAACGGGGTTCCTTCTCACCCTACAAAGCAATTAAAGTTTGCTTTTTTTTTTTAAAGCAAGTGCCTGTATATCGTTCCCTCCCCTTCCTCCTCCTCCTCCTCCTCCACCACCACCTCCTCCTCCTCCTCCTCCTCCTCCTCCACTTTCTCCCCTTGTTAATACATCCCTGTCCTCACACACAGACACACACACCAGTCTTTTCTCCTTGGGGGTTCCCAAGACCTCCGGGCGCACGGCCTTCGCCATCCTCTCCCGCTTCCCTCTGTGGCTGGCCCACCTCCCTTAGCCCAAGCCTGCCATTCTGGGCCTCCTTCCTCTGTTTGAAGGGCCAGGAGTTTGCACCTCCTCCTGGGCTTGTAACATCAGCGGCACGAAGGCCACCGCCCGATGGCGAGGATGCCCCGGCGGCCCCGGCGAGACGGCTGGTTAGCCAATGACGGGTAAGATTCCTCCGTGGGAGGAACAACCTAAGACAGGCACAGTCAAGACGGCGGCCCGGAACGAGCCCTCCCAGTGGTGGAAGGTGGCGGACCAAAGCCCGGGGGGGGCTCCTCCTCCACTTTCCAGGCTTTTCCTCCCGGCACGGCGGCTCCCGAAACAGCTCGAGAAAAAGGGAGATGGTCTCAAGTTAAATCAGCCCGAGCGCGTGCGTGCTGCGACGTTTCTCCCGAGCTGAAATCCTCACGGAGCCCGCGGCGAGCGAACCGGCAAATCCTTCTTTCCTCGCCGGAGGAGGCTTCAAGCCAAATGGCAGGCAGGCAGGCATCCCACCGGGACCTTGGCGGTGGGAGGGCAATGCCCATAGGGCTTTGAGGATGGAGGAGGCCGTGCACAACGGAGTCTGGGGGCTTCTCAATCACACACACACACACACACACATACACACACCCCTTTTTTATTATTACTTCTGGGGTTCCCTTCTTGACTGCCCGGCCGTCCACAGCCATTAATTAAGTTTAGACCTTGATACAGGAACGTTTTTTTTTTTAAAAAAGCGTTTTAAAACTGGACGTTTTTAAGAAGAGACTGGACTGGAAATGCTGTAGGGTTTCCTGCCTGAGCAGGGGGTTGGACTGGATGACCTCCAAGGTCCCTTCCAACTTTATTGTTATTACTATTATTATTATCATCATCATTATCGTTTCCAACACTGGACGTTTTTAAAGAAGAGACTGGACAGCCATTTGTACAAAATGGTATAGGGTTTCCTGCCTGAGCAGGGGGTTGGACTAGATGACCTCCAAGGTCCCTTCCAACTTTATTGTTGTTACTATTATTATCATTATTGTTTCCAACACTGGAAGTTTTTAAAGAAGAGACTGGACAGCCCTTTGTCTGAAATGGCATAGGGCTCCCTGCCTGAGCAGGGGGTTGGACTGGATGACCTCCAAGGTCCCTTCCAACTTTATTATTATTATTATTAAAAGTCGGAGGCCAGGAAGTGGCTTCTGGCATCTCCAGGACCGGTGGGACACCTCGGCTACTGCCCTCCCTCCCCTTGTCCTCCCCCCCCCACTCCGCAGGAGCGTTTCTCCTATAAATGGGGCGAGCAGGTGAGTACTCCTTCAGGTAAGTGCAGAGACTCTGCCAGCCACGCAGCCTTTTTAAAATAAAATTTAAAAAATAGAACACCTCTGTCTCTCCCGCCTGTTTGCAGGTGTAAAACTAGCACAGGGGAGAAATGGGCCCCTTTTACAGAGTGTTCTACTGAGGCTTGCGTTTTGGGGCCCCCAGAGCCGTGGCGTGCTGTCTCCCAGCATCCAGCCAACGGTCACCCCTGTTCCATGCAGGGGTAATGACAAGCTGGGCCTTCTTCTCTTAAAAGACAGAAGCTTCCGGCGATTCAAAACTGAGGCCCTGAGTTTGGAAAAAAAAATCAGAGAAGAGCAACTCCAGATGATCCAAGGCCTGGAGGCTAAAATACACGAAGAACGGCTGCAGAACTTGGGTCTGGCTAGTCTAAAGAAAAGAAGAAATAGGGCAGGGGGGGGCATGATGGCAGTGTTCCAGTATTTGAGGGGCTGCCACAAGGAAGGCGGGGTATCAAATTATTCTCCAAAGCCCCTGAAGGCAGGAGAAGAAACAATGGTTGGAAACTGATCAAAGAGAGAAGCGAACCTGGAATTAAGGAGACATTTCCTGACAGTGAAGACAATTAACCAGTGGAACGGCTTGCCTCCAGAAACCGTGGGCGCTCCATCACTGGAGATTTTTAAGAAGAGGCTAGACAGTCACCTGTCTGAGATGGTGTAGGTTCTCCTGCTTGAGCGGGGGGCTGGACTAGAAGACCTCCAAGGTCCCTTCCAGCTCTGTTCTATTCTAATGTGATGTTTTCTCCTTAAGAGGGGTTGAGCATCCGATTCCTGGCCAGTGATGGAGCTTTTTAACAATTGTAGAAGGGACAGCTTCGTTGAAGAGGTGCTGTTCTTTTCAGGGCCTTGAACGTGCTCCGTTTAGCCCCTGGCCTAAGAGACCGGGCCTGGGTGCAAGCCTTAGGCACACCCAGTCATCTGATGGCTCTTGTTTTAAAGCCCTTGTGGGTGCGTAAACTCCTTCAGCTTCCCAAAAAATCTAGAAGGTAGCAATCTGCCCATTTCAGAGCTTGCCGTTTAAAGATGCTGGCAAGTCAAGTTACCCATTTCTCAGCTCTTGAGAGCCCTTTCTTCCAAGGCTCAAACCAGTCCAACGAATACATTTCCCCCTTCTTTTGCAAAAGACTGAACAGTGCAAGGCCCCCTGCTTGAAGAGGGCTAGCTGCTTCGTAATTTAAACACCCCGATTAGCAGCTGGAGACGTTGTGAACTTCCACTGACTGGCGCAGTTTGGAAGTCCTCCTTTCTCGACCGCAGGGCCCATCCCCGCCACGCTGGGGGAATGCAAACCCCGCTAAAGCCATGATTTCGAAGATGGGCGAAACTGGGCTGGCTAGGGTGGGCGATAGGGCCCACTGAGGCAGGCAGGCAGGCGGAGGGAGGGGACGGGCTGGGCCACCTGGACATTGCTGCGTGCTCACTCTTCTCTTTCCAACAGCACCATCCGAGAACGGTTCCCCAAGCTGCTACGGCTGGTGAGTTATCCAAAGCTGACCGGTTTTGGGGAACGTGTCCTTGGTGTGTGGGGGGGGTGCCAGGCATGTTTGACAAGGCTCCCCTCTTTTCCCGCCCTGCAGGACGGTCACGAGCTGCCCCCGCCAATCTCCTTCGATGTCGAAACGCCGACCACTTTGCCTCCCTCCAAGGTAGGCCGAGGCTTGGGGGAAGGGGTAGGTGGGAGAGGGTGGAGTGAGGGGGCTAATAACGGATAACCCAAGGGTCTGCTGAGTACGGCCGTCCCTCTTGTACCGCTCTCCTTCAAATCGGCCTCTTTTTGTCTCCCGTTCTTTCCGCAGGGCAGTTATTTTGCCTCGGAAGGCTTGAAAATGCTGATCGTCCGTTTTTTGCAACAGTGAGTATCACTCTGATTAATAACGAAAGGGCGGTGAGCCACCCAAAGACTTACTCCACGCAAGGAGAGGAGCTCAGTGTAGTGAGTGCACAGGCATTTTTGGAAGGCCAGGCCAGTTAATCCCGGTCTTTGGGTAGTCTTTTATTTTTAAGAGTAATTTTAAGTCAGTTGATGCTTTTCAGAGAGACGATGCCTTGAGCAGGGGGTTGGACTAGATGACCTCCAAGGTCCCTTCCAACTCTGTTTTCCTTCCTTCCTTCCTTCCTTCCTTCCTTCCTTCCTTCCTTCCTTCCTTCCTTCCTTCCTTCCTTCTCCATCACTGGAGGCTTTTAAGAAGAGACTGGACAGCCCTTTGTCCGAAATGGTATAGGATCTCCTCCCTGAGTAGGGGGTTGGACTAGAAGACCTCCAAGGTCCCTTCCCACTCGGTTATGCCACGTTCTACGAAAGCACAGTGTTTCACGCGCTTTGCGCTGACGCACAATCGTCCCTTCCTTTCCAGATATTATGCCATCTACGATTCCGGAGACCGTCAAGGCCTGCTGGATGCCTATCACGAAGGGGCCTGCTGTTCGCTGAGCATCCCCTTCTCCGTGAATCACCCTTACAGGTCTGTCTCTGGGGTGCTTTGCTATTTTTGCTTTCTTTGGGAATTCAGCATTATTCCATTTTTAACACCGGACACAGGGTGTAAGGACAAGACGATTTAAAACTCAGCGGCTGCCTTCACCCTTGTTGGACCAAGCCATCTAGTTAAGCTGGATTCGTTTGCATCCACTTCCTTTTCGCTCCGCGATCTGGCCCCGGTTTCATGATTTAAAAACATGCGCTGAAGTCTTCTATTTTAAAAAAAAAAAAATTTTTATTTTTTTTTTGCCTGCAGGGGCTCTTTGGCTGAATATTTCAAAAACAGCCGGAACGTGAAGCGACTGAAGGATCCTTGTAAGCAAATTAAGATAAGATAACCTTTATTGTCATTTTAGACACCACTCCCATAAAAGCAGCCACCCACTGATGGTTAGCCACCCTGATGAAGCCGGCAGGAGGCCGGCGAAAGCTAGGTGTTTTAATTGTAAATAAACTTGTTATAGTTTTTATCTCCTGGTGGTCTCACAGTTTGTGATTCTCCAGATATGAATTCACCCAGGAGTCAACCCCCAGTTTTTAAAATTTTTAGAATTTTAAATGACATATAGATATAGATATAGATATAGATATATATTTGTTTTCTGAGGTTTTCGCGGGTGTTTGTATGTAGGTCTTTGGTCATTTGGGTTCTCTCCCGCATAAAATTGGAGAGAACCCGAATGACCAAAGACCTACATATATATATGTATATATATATGTAGGTCTTTGGTCATTCGGGTTCTCTCCCGCGTAAAATTGGAAGTGTCCTGGCGACGTTTCGACGAAGTCACATTCGTCATCTTCAGGCTGGTGTCTTCAGCTTCCTGCTTCTGGGAGTAGTGTGTGTGATCGCAGCTGTTTCTTCCTTTTAACTGCCAGTGGGGTTTGAGCTGATTGGGTGGGAGC